AGAACAAAAAAATCATATTGAGACTAACTTTTTTGTGGGAGTAGAAATCTTCATCTTTCTTCTGTGGAGTGGCTGGTGATTTTGAACTGCTGACCTTGGATGTGTACCCACTATGCCACTTATAACTTCCCTAATAAGCCCCATAATGACAAGGCTCATTGTTAAGTTCTGTGTGGCCTTTGCACTGGACTATTCAAGCCCAAGAGAATAGAGTGTTGTTGGAGGAAAGGTTGGTGCCAGGATAGGGTAAAGAAATAACGGAGGGTGGAGAAATGTCTGATCTCTGCATTGTGGCAATTGGCCTTGGGCTGGGGTGAAGTTAGTTTCTCCCTCTTCCTTGTGTAACCAGAGGAAGTCAAATATGGCTTCCACACTGCTGACTCAGGTCTTAAAGAAAAACTGGGGGAGAAACACGATGTTCTTTGAGTTTTTGAGAGCTCATTTTCAAAGAGGGTGTTAGATAAGTTATTTTAGATGGGTTAGAAGTGAGGATAATTTTTTTTCTCAGCACCAAATATTTTAGCTATGTTTTCAGATGATATTCCATTGAAGGGATATGGCCCTAGAGCAGGATATCATGTTTGGTTAAGTAGGGAGACACTAAAAAAAGAGGAGGACCTTCAATGAGATGGGTTGACACAATACAATAATGGGTTCAAACACAGCAATAATTGTGAGGAGGCACAGGGTGGGGCAATGGTTCATTCTACTGAACCCTGGGTGATGTTTCATTCCACTGAACCCTGGGTGATGTTTCATTCCACTGAACCCTGGGTGATGTTTCATTCCACTGAACCCTGGGTGATGTTTCATTCCACTGAACCCTGGGCGATGTTTCATTCCACTGAACCCTGGGTGTTTCATTCTACTGAACCCTGGGCGATGTTTCATTCCACTGAACCCTGGGTGATGTTTCATTCCACTGAACCCTGGGTGTTTCATTCTACTGAACCCTGGGTGATGTTTCATTCCACTGAACACGGTGATGTTTCATTCCACTGAACCCTGGGTGTTTCATTCTACTGAACTGGGTGTTCTGAGCTGTAATCGACTCCAAGGCACAGAACAACAATAGACAGGCTGTAAAGAACAAATTAGGTAATAATCATTGTCCAAGTAGTTTGCTCTTATTTTTCTTCCTAAGGTTCCCTAAGTGGATTTCCATTGTAGGTGTCATAACAGTTAGGCCACCAGTGGGGATCATTCTATAACCATTCCATTACTTGGAAGGCAGAAAGGAACTGAAAGCTCTTTCACTCACTTGGGTAGGAGCAGCTCAAGGACTCCATATCCTGTAGATCCTGAATCCAGGGCTCTGTCCCTCCCTCCAGATGGGAGATCAAAGGTGGTTTCGGAAATGGAAATCCTAGTTAGAGAGAAGGAAGAAGAAAGTGTGTAGATCAACAAAGTTGTATTCTGACACTTGCCCCTGACGCCGTGTTAGTATTTGGCTAGTGGAAAAGGTTTTCTTCAAGGGTCGGGTAATACAGAAAAACACATTTAGGGAGGGCCTTTCTCAGAAAGTCATATTTGAAAGGGTATGTGGCAGTTACATAATCTGTCAACTTGTAAAGGGGTGGAGTCTAGCCTGTCAATCAGGTTGCAGCTTGATGACCTCATTTGGAGGTGCTTTGGAGATAAATAGCTCACTGGAGGCCAGACCCAGACACTCTGTTTCTTCTTGTTGCTGACA